TTTGTAAGATCAAAGGATAACATCGTGGATTCGCTAACTAAAGGGTTAAATTGAGATCAAGTTGAGAAAACAGCTAAAGGAATGAGACTAAAGCCCATGAAAGTTAAATGTGTTATGTGAAGGAAAACTCTACCTTGTTGATTGGAGAACCCAAGATCTAGGTTGAAAGGGACAACTTAATTGCATAACCCGTGTATGGTCACTCTAGGGTTTCTTATCTCAAGTTTATTCATATGATATAAACAATGATCAAAGTAGTATAGGGTAAGCTAGGCTTTTAATGACCATTGTGTGCTGCGGTAAATTAGTTGACCCTATTCCCATATATAATGGGGTGAGGAGGAGGTAAGGTAGTAGGCTGCCCCCAAATCCAGGTTGAGAGCAGCTTCCGTGGAAGACCTCCAGCAATCAGAATTATGAATTGCCCACCATGGGACTCGATCTCACGACCACAAGGTTAAGAGCCTTGCGCTCTACCAACTGAGCTGGATGGGCAATTCATCTACTTCGACGGCTTATAGAGAAATATAGGGAAAAAATAGAGATCTTCACATGGCGTTCATTGACATTGAGAAGGCGTATGATAGCGTTCCCCGCGATATGATATAGAAGACCTTGGAAATGAGATAGATCCCAACTGCGTATATCTGGGCGATTTGTGATATGTACTGTAGATCTACTACATACGTCAGGACTACAATTGGCGACACCAAGGCATTCCCGGTGGAAATCAGATTACACCAGGGGTGGGGTCGGCTCTTAGCCCTTACATCTTCTCCTTGATTATGGACGACATCTATTTGTGCGACACCAGATGGTGTTCCATGTTCGCTGACAACGTTGTCTTAGTTGCTGAAACAAAAACTGAGCTGAATAGTAGACTGACTACCTGGAAGACCGCTTTGGAAGAAAAAGGTCTAATGATCAATATTGAAATGACAGGGTATTTATGTTCAAACTTCAGTGGGAACCAAAACGATGAAGATGTAGAAATATGCATAGAAGGACACGTTATCCCCTCAAATGATTGTTTCAGGTACCTAGGGTCTATAATCCATAAAGATGGGGGTGTAGATGATGACGTTACACATCGTATAAAGGCGAGTTGGATAAAGTGAAGGGTTGTTACTGGATTTTTGTGTGACAAGAAGATGCCTCTAAAACTTAAGGGAAAATTTTATAGAATGGCAATAAGACCAGCGCTGCTGTATGGATCAGAATGTTGGGCAATCAAGAAGGATCACGTAAGGAGGATGGAGGCCACAGAAATGAGAATGCTTCGATGGGCATGTGGTAGGACTCTGTGGGACATGACACCAAACTCTGTAATTAGGATGTCTTTGGAGGTGGTGCTTGTATCCGAAAAATTAAAAGAGGGAAGACTACGGTGGTTTGGGGATGTACTTAGGCGAAAATCGTCATATGCGGTCAGGAGGGTAGAGTCGATCACAGCCGATGGTGCCAGAAGGAGAGGACGACCAAGGAGGAAGTGGGAAGACTGCTTGAGATCTGATTTGAAGGATTTAGCCCTTACCGAGGACATGACCTCTGATAGAAAAGTATGGAGACTTAAGACCAGAGTAGCCGAGTAGTGCGGGTCATAACCATAGGGTGTAACATCTATGTCTTCTTTTTAATGCCTTTGTAGTAATTTCCATGACTTCTACTTTTTTATACGTTTCTGTCATCGAAATTTATGAAGGCTTAGAACTAGGGTAGCGGAGTAGTGTTGCCTTATTTTAGGTTTTAAACCATTTGGAATTATTCCTTCTCATAGCTTGTTATCGTTCTTGTGTATCCTTCTCTTCATGTTTCCTATTTTAAAATTTAGTCGGGTCTCACGTTTCTGTCTATATGCAGAGATTTTTACGCAGAGATTTATTTGCAGGGATTAATTCCCATTGAAGACGCGCATATGAAGACTGCATATGAAGACTGTTCAACTATGTATTTATTTATTTATATATACATGCATTGCTTTTTATCTTTATTTTTAATTTTCTGACTGCCAGATGTCTTCCACGGAAGGTGGTCTCAACCTGACGTTGGGGGCATCCTACTACCCTACCTTCCCCTTACCCTATTATATATGGGAATAAGGTTTTGTTGTTGTTGTTGTGTGCTGCGATAAATTGAGAAACATAAGTCACCTATGTGAGAGTTAAGTAGGGTCGCTTCAAGGAGACTATTGGGACATAGTTCTCTCAAACTCTTGTAGAACCAGGCAATGTCCATGGCTTTAAGGATATACTCATGATACTAAATCTTGTCAGATGGGTAGTTATGTGAAGTATGTCATCGTTTACACAAACAGCAGAACGGATCAAGGACATCATGTCTACTGTTTAACTAGTAAAGTAAATATACCGACACAATAGAAGGTTCAAAGGAGGACACTTACCTATCATATGCAACTATATATCATAGAGGCTATCACCACACCGTGTCAAAATGTTTTTGATTAAATCATCAATTTCATTCATGTGGGGGATTGTTGGAAAAAAGTGTGAATTACATTGATGGATGTAATAGTTATATTAAATTTAAAGTCCTTTTAGATATTGTAAATTAAAAGATATGGTTTAATTTAAATATTAGTAGGATAATTACTCTTTTAATATGTCAATTTAAAATTGTATGTGTTACATTTTTAACTTTGAATATTAAAAGATAATTATATACTTTTATGTATTTCAAATTAAAAATAATATCTGTTTAATTTGAATAATAAAAAGAGTGTATATTTGTTTTATATTTTAAATTTAAAAGATATTATTGTATGTTTAATTTAGATATTAAAAGATATTTAGTTGGATTAAAACTCTCTCCAAATTCCCCTATAAATACTGAGCAAATCTCTCAGTTTTTTCACAACTCAAAATTCACGAAGCTTTCTTCTCTTGAAAATATTTTCTCCTTCTCAAGAAAATATTCAGTTTCCCTTAATTTTTCCGGTGACAGTCGAAGGCAAGGAAAGTTTGTGATCTCTATTGTTGTTCTACCGTAACTGATCATCTAGTTGTTGTATCCTGGGAGACAAGACAACTAAAGGATCTCGAGCACCAAGGAGTTGTCGAAAATCTGTTTTAACGAAACTGTGTAGCGACAGTCCTCAACTGATTCCAATCTCAATATCAAATATAAAGAGTATTTTATTTTCTTTATTTCTCTTTTATTTTTTTAAAGAATTTGATTATTTCTTCTACTTTTCTCATGTTCCAATTTAGTGTCAGATTGTTACTCTCATATAACAGTTTCTGGGTCTACACTAGCGATAAGCCCTTCAAACCTGGCAGCTCAACTGGGCCTCGCACTGAAATTCGCATTAAGGTAACACCACTTGCTCATCAACAAATAATGAATAGCTCTAATACAAACTAAAGACCAAAATGCATCAATCTTAACTGAATTGGGGTGAATGTTAATCTGTTTTAGGGACATGACTATTCGTTCGGAATTTGGCAATTTGAAGGATATGCTTTTGTCCCGAAATGGACCTCTAGGTGACTAGAATGCAAATCCACGGTGCCGCTCAAGCAGCGACGACATTTCGACTGAACACTTACGATGGCAACATGCGGTACTACAACTTGGTGGCCACTGATCTGTACAATAAGTGGTTTAGAATGAATGGGATCCACGATGTCAGCAAAGGGAAGATCACAGTTTACGTTGATGGAGAAGAGAAGTTAGTGGTGAAGGATCAAGGGCCTAGAGAATTTTTTTTCTCGGCAAAAGTTATTTTATTTATATTGAGAATCAAAGTCCTATTTCCGAGACTAGTTAAAAACGTCACTAAACTAAATGGAGAAAAAAAAATTCTATATAAATAGATCAATACAATTAAAGATATATGTCATGAAGATACTTCTCAAACATGGAAATCCTCTCGTGGGGCAGCCTTAATAAACTACGTCCAAGAAATTTCCACCAATTATTGTCTTAAACGTGGATCAGTCTATTAACTTAATATTATTAACAAATTTCTGCGGTTAACCTTATTGATAATTTTTTAAAAGAATCTCAATTAGCATTATTTCGTGCACTTTTTCTGCTTTGTTCTTCCTCTATGAAAAAAATAGATATCCCATAAACCCAGTCACTTTCTTCACGTATGCCTCCGACTCTTCCATTGAAACTTCATATTTGAGAAACAAAACCTTGTCCGACTTCTCCTGACTTTCTATCCAGAATTTCAAAGCCTGATCCATATAAGGTCCATAAAAGACTCGCCTTCACAAAAAGAAATCGAAAGCTTCTAGGTGAATGAAATCATCTTTGTTGGGAGCTTGTTTGGCTAGAAAATGATAGAGCGAAACGAAAGCATCCTTAATTTGGCTCCCTGCGAATGTAAACAACTTTGCAATCAGGTTTTAGGATGTATTTTGGGAAGGCATGGTGGCTTGCTGAGCTTCCTTAATGGGTTCAAGTGAAGATGACAAAGGTATGAGCCTTGAGCCAAGTGGTGCCACTTTTGGGGGCACTGTACACGCAGGTATAGGTTGGTTCAGTTTAAAGCATTCAAGGGATAAGGTTATGTCTTCTATGAAGTTAGAGCTGCACCAAAAGCAAAGGATGATGATGATACAGTGGCACAATCACGGTTGTAGATCTGATGTTTTAATTGATGAAGGGTTTTCTTTTCGTTGTAGATTCGATGTTGACTCTCTCATGGAGTTTTTAGATGTAAAGATTTTTTTTCTTTAAAAAATATATCAATAAAGTTAACGGTAGAAATCTATTAATAATATGCTAATGGACTGATCCACGTGTAAGACTATTACTGTTATATAATGTTAGTGTAATATATTATTTTTCTCGGTATCATGTGAAAGACATTAAGCTCTACATTTGTTTTTGTATAAACTTTTACTAATCAACCTTCCATTCACCAATAATATATACATGTATTCACTATAAACACGTATAAATTCAAATAATATAACAAAAATGAAAAGGAGTTTTTTTTTCTTTCTATTTACAAACATATGTGGTCACACATGTCGATATAATTTATGCACTATTTCTTTGTAATTATCTCGTCCGGTGTCGTTTTTAGACCAGAAAAGATGTTGTCATTTCCTTGATTACCAATGCTCTTGCTCGATTGATCGTCACAAGGCACAAATAAACATGTTCTTCAAGCTCCTGCACCTGTTTCCAGAATCCAGAATTGCACTTGTTTAACTCCTCGACAATTTGCAGACAAAATCGATGATCTTCCCTTTGTCTCTCCAAACAAATCCGTATGATTTCCTTCTTGTGTTCAACTTCATCATTCATCCTCGAAACCATCCGACTCATCGTATCGAAATCCCGGTTCAAAATGTAAGTCCCCTTCGCTGCAACATCGAGCTGATCCCCGACTTTCCTGAGAAACCCAAATTTCAAACACGGGAATTTCTTGAAAACCATCGTCTTCTTCTTCTTTAAAAGCTTTACCGGTACGAAGCTCAGAATCGCAGGTGTCATTAACAATGGTGCAAGAGTATGCACTGATATAGCTATAGCTATTACCACAACCACTCCACAAGCCGCCGTTAAACAAATCCCGGACGCTTTATGAACGAACTTGATCATCTTTATCTTCCTCGAAACCTTCCTTTTCTTCGATTTAAGATGGTGAAATATCGAGGAGTATTTCTCGTTAATCATCTTGAAATCATGTTTGTCAGGGTTGGAAAACGGGTTTTTCAGGGCTACGAATGAGTTCAACTCGGAAAGAATCTGTCCGAATTTCTCGGGAGAATGATAATACTCATCCAACGAATCGAGTGCTCGTTGGATGAACTGATAATTACGTTGGATTTGATTGATTTTTGCGAGGAGATGGCCGCAGATCCTCGATGCTTCGGCACTAACGTTGAAATAATCGAAGATTAGGGTTTTGAGTTCGGGTGATTCGTCAAGGATTGCGGATTCTAAGATGGAAGATACGGTGTCTTGGCAGGGTTCCAAGAGCTGAAAGAACTTGTATGGAGAAGATGGTTCATTGGCTAATACTTGAGCTTTTGAGGAAAATTCCAAGTATGATTTGGTTCTTAATGTACTAAGGTATTCATCATTTACATTCAAGCTTTTTCGAGCATCTCTCAGCTCTTTCTCACCTGAAAAAAAATATCAAATTTAATAGATTATATATTGAAGATAAGTGGTGTGGGGGGAGGAATACTTACATAGAAATGAAATAATTTTATAATTTTTGGACTTTATAATTAGTTTAGTTATTAATTTTTTCTTCCATGTGCACGCCTGAGGGATAAAATATTTTCGCAAAATATAGGAAATTTAATCAATATTTAATGAATTGGTTCATTTGATTTGTTAAATAAGCGATCAAGGTTGTTATGTGGCTTTCATTTGTCAAAAGGTTATATGCTTTTCCCATTTTTTGGTTTGGATTAAAGTTTTGCCTTTGATTCAAATTTGATGAATTTTAGCTTAATTTGACTTAATTATATATTATTAGATTTTTTGAAGTTTGAGCTCGAGACGTGTTTCTTTAAGGATAAGGTCAAATTTAAATTTATGGTAAAATATATTCAATCTGATAAGATTTAATAATAGTATAATATATCTTTATATATATATAATTAATTGCTATACTACCTCTTTATCTATATATATTTTCAATTAAATCCCTATTTCACCTAATAGAAATTATATATATATGCCGAGTAGGGTACAAACTTTTACCTTAAAAATAAAGTCATGATTTAGATTAAGTAGAGTTTTTCTAAACTCAGATCGGACCAGACGACAACTGAAGGGGTATTATACTTAGGTCAAATTCATGTGAACTAAAAACTTGATTCGACCCAACCCGTGATTATCCCTAATTGTGATAAATAAATTCCTTTAAAAAAATTGGGGTGATTATAAAATGATATTTGTTCAAACACTCTCAATTATATGACAGTGAACGCTCATACCTCTGTATTCGCGATGCTTAGGATCTCTAGACATTTATAATGTCTTTCTCTATTTCCACGACTACATAGTTGGATGCATTCCAATAACTTCTATTTAAACTATTTTGTTACTAGTTTGAATTCATTTTAGAAACCTTTTCTCATCTAATTTCAAGTTAAAACAAAAACACAAATAAAGTCTGAACTTAAAGTTCAGTCAATTCATAATAGATAACATTCAACAAATCTAATATTCAAATTCTAACGTCAACGGTCTATTCTTGATCTGCGAATTCGTTAACAAAAAAGTAAACATATAAAAAAAATGACAGAGTTGTATTACATTAGGAAGCATACCTCTTTTAACCTTAAAAGCTCTAAACTTTGCCCACATATTGATTTCGAAGCTGGATTTGGAAGATCGAAACTCGAGCTAAGGAAAATAAATCAAAGATGGCTAGCTTCCAATTCCAAGGAGAAATCTATTTGTACTGATTACAAGTTTGAGAAATCCGGGCAATACTAATCCTTACAAACAACCTTGCAAGCAACAGGGAATTGATAATGAAGGCTTTCCACAATAATGAATGATGCATGAGATACATATATATATATGATGCAACTGCCTAGGTTGCGGTGGGATTTCATATATCTTTGCCTTACATAACGCCTTTAACCCAAAAAATAATAATAATTAAAGATTGTATCTCACTCCATCTTTACATTTTTATGGTATATTTAATATATTTATTTATACAATTTCTATACCTTTATGTTTTTCTGCTTATGCCTTGAATTTTTTTTGTATTATACTGCAATTTTATTTGAAGAATTTTTTTACTTGGGATCATGAGAGCATACGGATAATATATGTCTACATATTTCTAAGCATCATGGTCAAGGGAATTCCTCCTTCCAATAATTTAGGACAACAGCCTAAGAAATAACATGTACAACGATCCCATGTCTTAAATAATGGTGGTTTTGTCAGAGAACTAGGTTATTTTATGACAGCACAAAACCAATAATTAATCAAAACATGTTTACGTGTCGGTGCATTAACCGTTAACCGATATCAGTTCAAATCGTCAATTTATGTCATGTTCATATCATGTATCCAGTTTAAAAATACGCAGAAATTGATGATTTTGAGCAGTCGGTTGGGTAACGTCGAGGCTTCATGGAGGGCCAGGCCAGACGTAGAGAGGTAGGGAAAGTGGGGGCTTTAATCTGCAACACTCTAACAACTCTCCTGTTTTTCGGTTGTCAACCAAAGGATTTTTGGGATAAAAAAGTGCTTTTTATCTCTCTCTCTCTCTCTCTCGGCTATTTATCTTAAAAACGTGGAGACTAGGTACATGCACGCCATTGAAAAAGATGGACGAAATTACATTTCGGGAATATATGAAAGAAGCAAGCCATTAAATTCTCATGCGAGATACTATTTATAGACATGTAAACACTTAACACAAGTTATTTTGGATTCGGTTTTAAATTCCTTTTAATTAAATTATCGTTATAAAATTGAGTTTAAATTTAGATTCGATTGAACAAGTTAAATTTAAATAATTCATGAAAACCTAATTGTTTACCAGCTAAACAAACCTAGTTAAAAGGAGTTCAGCTATTTTGAGTTTTATAAGAAATCAAATAGTCAAAGTAAAACTTGTGCACTGGAGCTCAGCTTCATGGATAAAACTGTTGTTAACTGTCTTTTGGGGGTGACAAGTGGTTATCTTTTATACTAATAACGAGTGTTTGTGATAACATCAGGGCTTAACTTTAAAAAAAAGTTTCACGTCCGAGTTTAACCTAACGTGATTCATCAGCACCTTTAGTTAATATTTTATATTAATATTTATATATTTACAAATTAATGAATTATTGCTTCCTTCTGGCAGAGATCTGGGAATTTTAGAGTGTTGCTTTTGAATTAGATAAGAGACGTGTAAAGCACATAGCTGATATGGATGATTTGCATGAGACAACAGCTTGACCTTTATTGGAAGCAACAAAGATATGCCATAAATTCAAAGGATACCCAGGAAAATGCCATACCAGTCGTTCCATTTTACTCCAAAAACATATCAAAAAGCCACTAATGGATCTCCCTAAAATATTAACCCACAATGGGTTTTGAATGATTATTGAAATAATCTCTTTCATAATATAATTGTTCATATTTTTTTTGAATTCTTAAAAGATAATTATTAAAAAGCCACCAAATGGGTGTCCCTAAAATATTATATTTTATCACTTTTTTTAATTTTCTATATAAGATATTCTAATTTCCAATTAATATATATCTTTTATCAGTTTTCAGCATAAATAATTTACCATGTTCTTCAACATTTGCATTATAGTATTGTCAATATTTAATTTTTCAATTGATATAGATTATAAAATAAATAGAAATAATATATTACAAAATTGAAAACCAAGTATGAAGGGTGGACTCGTGGCCTTGATCGTTAAAACCCAAGTTCAATCTATTTTCAAACGTTTTTTTCTCTCTCAAACCTATTTTTAACCTAATAGTTTTGTTTAAATCATCTTAAATATCAGACAACTTCAAATTTTATCGTACCCGAGATTGGTATAATCGCAAGCCAAGCATAAACTTTTTTACTCATTATTGTGTTCCCTTCCTAAAGAGTCCAACCCTTCCGTTCGACTATAATAATCCTATGAAACACTTGCCTAACCTTCTTCTCCAATGGTCCTAAACCAGCCTTCATTGCACCATAAGCTTGCCCCAATTCCTCCACTCTTTCCCTCACCGCTTTTTCCTTGTCATCGCCGATCAGAAGCGCTCGGTGGCAGTCAGTTCGGTCAACGGCCAAGTACACTTCTCAATTCAATATATTTCCATTGACAATCCACACGAGTTCCTCCTGTCTTTTTTCTTCGACTCCTCCATGATCTTATCGTGCAACGAGAGAATGGTGGCTGCACAAGAGAACTGCCTAGGAAGATAAAACTGAACTTGCAAGCCCCGGTCCTGGCACGGTATCGCGGCTACCAATGCCCACATTGCAAACAACAAAACGCTACCCATTGTGTAAGTGAGCATCGCGAGTCCATTGGTGGCAACGATTTCCTTCGCTCGTGGTGCTACCAAGTTGCTTCCGATTGCTTGGAGTTGCTTAGCTGCGGACTAAGTCCTCGAAACATTCCAAGACACTGACCTACTGTAATATTCCAAAAAATATGAATTAAAATAGTTATTTAATCAAATATTATAACATTTTTTATATTAGCCTAAACAATGTCCACTAACGATTAAAGTAGACATGAATTTGTTTCTTAAAAACATCCCATAAAATCAGCATTTCTTTCGAATTCACTATTGGACTAATCAATGATATTATAAAAGGAGATGATGAATAATATCAAATTAAAGGACTAAATCCTAGATTTGGGATATAGTATAAGGACCAAAACTATAATTTGGCCCAGAAAAGTAAAGATAATCTTGGAACCTGAAAAGACCGGGTGAATTCACGAGATAATGTTCTCGATTTTTTTTTTCACGATATGGTGCACATCCCAGATTAATTGTTGAAATGGGGTGAATTCTACAGTGATGCCATAGGACGCCATGCAATCCAGGCGATCTTGTAGGACGCCATGCAATCCAGGCGACATACGGGAACATACGAGCCAATGGTTCTCCCCATGCATACGAGCCATACGAGCCAATGGTTCTCCCCATGCATACGAGCCATACGAGCCAATGGTTCTCCCCATGCATACGAGCCATACGAGTGCGAGCCATGCGAGGTGGCCATGCAGTGGAATAGAGAGGTCGTTCTCCCCATGCGAGGTCCCCATGCATACGAGCCATACGAGTGCGAGCCATGCGAGGTGGCCATGCAGTGGAATAGAGAGGTCGTTCTCCCCATGCGAGGTGGCCATGCAGTGGAATAGAGAGGTCGCCATGCAGCCTAGGCGACCTTGTAGGTCGCCATGTAGTCCCGGCGACCTTGTAGGTCGCCATGTACTCCCGGCGACCTTATAGGTCGCCATGTAGTCCCGGTGCCATTCCCATCGTCCATTCCCATCATCCATTCACATGCAGCCCCATCATCCATTCACATGCAGCCATATAGATTCCTTCACGTGTGCATGTTGCATGCCTACGGCTCCCAATGAAACCATGTGAACCATTGCTGCATGCATGTGAAATAATTGGTACAATAATTGAAGCTGCAATTGTACAATTATTGGTGAAATAATTAAGGCAGTCGGTTGGTGAAATAATTGAGGCAGCCGGTTATAAAAGAAAGAAAGAAAGGGAGAAGAGATTGTAGAAGAAAGGGAGAAGTGATTGCAGCCGAGAAAGAAAGAAAGGGAGAAAGGAAAGAAAGAAAGAAAGGGAGAAAGGAAAGTAAGAAGAATTCGAAAGGGAGATAAGGTAAATTTTTTGTATTTAAATTAGTTATTATTATAAATGTTTAATTTGTTAGTTTAGGGTTTAGGGTAAAACAAAAAGCAGCTAATTAGTTGTTAGTTTAGGGTTATATGATTGTTAGTTTAAGTTATAGTATACATAAATTAAAAAATATTTAATTAGTATATGTTTGATAGTTTATAGTTAAAAATAATTAATTAGTTTGTATTGTTAATAGTTAGTTATATAAAAAATTATTTAATTAGTTTGTGTTAGTTAAATAGTTAAGTTATATTTGTTTGTTGAATTTATATTATATAAAAATTAGTTAGTAAGTTTATTAGTAGTATATTATAATGAAAAAATAGTTTATTAGTTAGTTTTAGTTATATAGAAGAATATTTTATTAGTTGTTTAAGGGTTTAGCGTTTACGTTTAACTTATATTTTAAAAAGTTTAGTTTGTTAGTTTATTAGTTTATTATATTATAAGCTATTATATTAAAGTTTAGTGTTGTAAATTAGTTAGTTAGTTTATATTAGATTATATTAAATGATTTTTAAATATTGTTGTTTAATTTTTTTTACAGATTCATTCCAATGGCTGACCAAATTCCACTGTTGAGGCTTGACAATGAACATATTTCAAGTCATTTGGGAATA